CCTTTGAGGAATGGGGGGGGGGGGCAGAGAGCACACAAAGGATGGAGGGAAAGGGTTGAATGATGGCCACTAGTCCAGCCGGGGTTTCAATGCCAAGCTCAGCATTAGCTGGACCGGGACCAGGTTGAAGAAGATTTAGGGTCTGCGTTTTAGCACAAAATCTGCTTCCCAGGTTCTCCTCCGACAGACTGGTTACCTTTGCTGCGGCGACGGCTGCTACGGTACTGCTCCGTGTAGAAGGTCAGCTGCGTTTCGTCGTCCGCCTCGGACCCCGACGTCCCCTTGGCTCTCCCAAAGCTGATTCCCCCTGCAAGGAAGCACACGCCACTGGTCATCGCTGGCTCCTCCCTCCCAGAGACCAGCAGCCCCCCCTCCCCCCAGGACTTCTTTTTGTAAGTCCCAAGTGCCCCAGGAGTGGGCGTGATTTATGGGAGGGGTTCAGCCCTGCAGTGAGGGGATCTGGGTTCTAATCACGGCCTGGCAGCCCCTGGGCTGTGTGACCTAGAAAAAGTGCATCGCCTCTCTGGGCCCTGGGTCCCTTCTTCCTAAAACAGGAGCAATAACTATTAGCCCTGCAGGATTGTTTAAGGATTAAAGGAGACGTGATGTGTAAAATGCCTGGTCCGTGGCGGCTGCTAAATAACTGATAGCTACATTGATGCTTAGTGTGATGAGCCTGCCTCTAAGAAAACAGTCTAGGCATCTTAATTTCACATACATTCCAGTTAAATGCTTACTGTACACCAGGCCCAGAGCCAGGCACTGGATATACAGAGATGCAGCCGGGTCCTTGCCAACCAGGGGATCACAGGCTAGTCAAGGTGACAAACAGGGTCCCGTGGGGCCTTTAACCTAACTCACGGCCGTGCTTTGGACACAATGAGACCCTGGGAACATGGGGGGGAGAGCAGCCCGTCACCACACAGGTGACCTGGGAAGGCTTTGTGGGGGAAGGAAGGTTTCAGTTGGAGCTGGAAGGATGGATGGGGTTCAGTGGTAGAAAATGGAGCTCCCAGGAGAGGGAAGAGCTCGAGCACCCCTGGGGTGGGGCGTGTGGGCAGGTGGAGGCCACATCGGGCGGCGCAGTGACTGGGAGGAATACGCTGGAGCCGCAGAGCGGAAGGACCTGAGCCTCACGCTGAGGGCGGGTGTCACGGAAGGTTCTGGAGCAGAGGGAAGAATTCACAGCTGTGCATCCCAGGAAGGACATGACTCACAGTACTCAGGACAGAGGCATCGTGATGCCCGCTTTATAGATGAAACCACCAAGGTTCAGAAAAGGAAAGCGGTTCGCTAACAACGAGGGATGGCCAAGCTCAAAGGTTGAACCACTTGTGACACTGTGTCCCGGCTTAAAGCTCCGTAAAAATGGAAAAGCTGATACCTGCCCTGCCCCTTCCTCGACAGAGTATGTTGCAAGGAGCGGGACTGCACAAGAAACAACAACGTCTCATCTTGGTCCCCAAAGGCGTCTTGTCTTCAGTCGCGGTCTGTCCCTGCCCCTTAGTGCAAACCCCCCAACCCCCAGCAACGAGGGTGGGGTCTGGAGACAGCAGACTGTCCAGATTACAGCAGATGCAGCTGCCCCTTTAAGGCGCGCCTCGGAAACGGAGCTGGCAGAGGCCCCGCGGACCCGGGGAGAGTAAACGAGGGGAGCTCCACGGAGGCCAGGGGAGCTGTTTAAATTGTCCTCAAAATATTTTACTGT